AACTGGGGCCTTCCAGATGCAGTGCCCAACAAGGTGATGAAGATGGTGTCTTCCATAGCCAGGTAAGTGCCCCGCCACTCTCCTACCATGCCCCCTTCTTCCTCCTCCTCAAGCTGGAGTGCTCGCCATAGCCAGGCTGAGCTCCAGCGGCCCTTCACCTCCAAGCAGCGCTGCACCAGACCAGCGCTGCGCTCCAGCAGCATGTCGCCAATCCTTGCACACCGCAAATGAGGAAGAGCTCTTTGCTCTTCCTGAAGATATAGCGGCCTACCGGCATCCTGGGCGGTGACTTCCTAGGCCTAGCGGCCTCCCAGCAACCGGTACCTCCTCCCTTTCGGAGGGAAACATCATTGCAAGCTCTGCTATCCTCCGCACGGGCCCAAGACCCGGGCTACTTGGACTGGTACCGGCCTACCTCTAACCTACCGCTACTGGGCCTCTAAAAATGCCAACTTTTTGTCTTCTTCTGCTCGGCCTCCAGTACCCGACACTTCTACCACTACTTCAGTGGTACCGGCCTACCTGCTACTTTTTCCCCTCTGCTCTAAGTGCCGTGGGCCTACCCCGCTACTCGAGTGTTTTCCCCCTGCAACCCTTCACAGTCACGGCCACAGGTAAGTACCGGCCCTGCGGGGCCTTGCAACCAACAAGTACCCTTGCAGGTCACACACACACTCAATCGTCAAGCACTCAGACAGGCATGCAAACCAGCAGGCACGCACACACACACAGACATGGAAATCACAGCAGAATGCGGGAATTTCAACAAGGCATTCATTCCAGCGGCAAATCCCAGAAATCAGCAGTGTTCTCAGTCTGTGTTTTTGGCGGGTCATTACAGTAGCAGCGAAACCCCGAGTTGGGGTTGCAGCCTGGGCATCTAGTACTGTTGTGAGAGGATTGCAGTTGCGCGCGGTGGTCAAGCTTGCTGGTTGAAAGCATCAGTATTGTTGGTGCAAGAGGTATTTTGTGTTTGCATGCTGCTGCTGCTGAGTCCCTACCGCATGTATGATGCTGTATGGTGGAGCATTGTGATGCTGCTGGAATTGCACGGCTCATTGCACAACATCCTATTGCTGCGAAACCTCCTGGTTCGGCTGCGTTTTTGCGTGATCTCTATTCGAACATGGTCCTTCTGCCCTGCGTTCCTACGGTTTTGATTAGACGTAGGGGCATAGTGACTAAAAGGAAAGGCTCAAGATGCATATGTTGATGACAACAAGAGTGTGCTCTCATTAACATTTGGACTCGGCAGTTCAACCTGAGAGGAAGCACCGTGAACTATCTAGAATAGTGGGGCTGAAAGGAGGCGGCTATCATTGCGACTTTGAGGATCGTCTAAGGAGGGTTATTTGATGTGATAGTCATAGTTCAAGATTTGTTGCTGCGACCGATTGAGAATCTAGCCAACCCGCTGCGGTACGTTCTGGCCATCATTGCGGGGCCCTTGGGCGCATGAAGATTACAAGGCCATCTCCTAGGAGTTGAGTTAGTCCCCTTCTTGTATCTCGAGAGTCTGAAAAGGGCGCATGAAGACTACAAGGCCCTCTCCTAGGAGTTGAGTCACTCCCCTTCTTGTATCTCGAGAGTCTGAAACCCCTTACCTTCTGCCCTTCTTAATCTAAGTATAATCCTTGTTCAGAGAGGAAGGCGGCAGACGGGATTGCAACCCGTAGGATCGCGGCAAGACTCTGTGGGGAGTCTGCCCATCGATTGCGGGAGCTCTGCCGAAACCTAGGCGAGGTTCTGGAGGCAGGGAACAGTTAGGTATATCTTTTTCTATCTGTATGACCTCACTATACCCCTATTTGACTATCTTCCTCTAGTTTGACTATTGTATGCATGTATTCCCCTATGATTTGTGCTTTCTTTCCAGGTTCTAATCAGACTGAATGAAAGGAATATGTGTGAAAAGCTTAATTTTCTCTTTATTTTGACTGAAAGCAGACCGAGGGATGAACTAGGAGAAGGTGGGGGGAAGGCAATTTTGCATGTGTTTGATCGGGTCAATCAAGGACTGGGCAGTATTTCTAAGCCTAATGACCCAGGGCTATGTTTATTTGGCTGTTTTCTGAAGGACCAGGCATTGTTTCTAAGCTGAATGGCCTGGTTGCTCTGTTTATTTTTGAGGGTTTGCCCGACTGAAGGGTTTAATCTCTTGTTTCATTCTGAGGGAGGATTTCTCGTTTAAGGCTAAGCATTGTTTCTAAGCTGAATAGTTTAGCCTGAAGCCACGCACATAAGTATTAAACTGAGCATAACGAAAAATACCTTATTTATATTTGCATGTGAACTGGCAATTGGACATTGTTTCTAAGTTGAATGGTCCAGAGCTAAGCCATATCACTAAGAAGAGAAGGAAAGCCACATAATATAATTGGACGTAATCTCGGCAAGTTGGAGCATTGTTTCCAAGCTGGATGGCTCAGTCCCCTGCCCATATTTTTATTTCTTTTTTTAGAACTGCAAGGAAAATAAGCAACAGCGAGATGACAAATTCCAGATTACATCATCACATTGAAAGCCAGATAGTCGCACTATGTCCAAAGAGCAGCATTGCACCAATAATACACCAATGGAGGTTCATAGTTCTGAAAACCAATGTCAAGGAGAGCTTCTTTCTCCACCACAATACGAGAGTTCAATCCCTTCACACTCCTACTTGGCGTTGAGCGCCCAGCCTACTCCTACACAGCTACGATCAGCCTACTAGTAGACAATGCAACTGTAGACATCAGCGGCAACCCGAAGTACTTGAAGATGTCGCCCTTATGCAGACCATCGCCAATACAAGGTATGTGCCCTCACATCATCATCATCATCATCATCATCCTTCGCCCTTTCCTGACTTTACACCCACGCATGTCCTCTCTTACACCCGAAGACCACCCCTGCGCCTCACTGTACATCCAAGCCCAGCCCGTTATGAAGGCTGGCTATGGCGCTGCCCTCAGCAGTGCCCTGCTTCAACACACGACCGCATGTGCACAGCCTCTTGCTCCAATGCCAACAGCCAGCCCGCGAGCTATCGCTCCAGCAGCGCTGCCGCCAGCCAGCAAGTGACCGAATGTCGCTGCCAGGGGAGAGCTCTTTCCTTTATGGAAAGAGTTGGCCTGCTTGCGCAGCCTGGCTGCACTAGCCTGGGCCCAAAAGCTTCCGGAAGGCCCCAGGATGTTGCCTTTGCTCTGCAGCTACTGGGCCTCGTTCGGTTGGGCCTCCCAACTGTCAATGTATGAGGCTGTGATTCACGCCCAGGGCCTGCATTCTTTGGAAAGGCCCGGCAGGCGTTGGACATGTCTTTGTTGGTCGGCTTGTGTTTCTTTCAACCAACTGGCGCGCCGCAACTGCCTGTACCCCAAATATGAAATTGACAGTCGAAGGCCTCTTGTGATAAGTTAGGCCCGCCTTCACTTAGGGCGGGCACCACTGCAACCGAGGCCCCTTAGGTCTGCCGAGGACCCAAATCCTCGCATTCCCTCCTCCTTTACTTCGTTAGTCCTCTGAGAAGTCTCTTAGTCTGCAGGCATCTTTCCTTTCAGTTCTCTTTCCTAGCCTGCTATCAGAGAGCGCAAATAGGTAACCGTTGCCCGTACCTGGCCGTACCCAACTGTAACCACTTGGTTATGGGCGGGTATGAGTACCCTTTCCGAAGGGGGAGTAGGGTATGGGCAAGCACAAATAAAAGGTGGTGGTTGTTAGGGCGGGCACAATTGCCCTTTTTGGAGATCAAGGGTGGGTAGGGGCAGGTAGGGGTATGGGTAAGGAAAAAAAAAAACGGGTATGGGCGGCCAGAAAAAAGAATAGACGGGTATGGGTAGGTACGGGTGGCCAAAAAACTAAAAGGGTGGGTACGCGCGGTTAGAGGTTCCCATCGGGTAACTGTGGTATACCCGATGTGAGTCTTGTAGATTCGCAGGCTTTGTATTTTTGCTAAAGCGTAACACTTTTCTCATATTCCAAATTTCTTACTTTCCTATAAAGCAAACATTTTTTCTCGCAAAGGTGAAGTTTATATCTCTTCATTTTTTTATTTTTTGTTTTTCAAATTTTCAGACTATTTTCATATGTGTGTAACCCTGTGTATGTAATATTTATGTGTGTGTGTCGCATGCGTGTATGCATGTGTGTGTGTGTAAGAATGTATGTGTGTGCGACAGACCGAGGGTAGTTGCATTTGCAAATGCTATACAT